AAGTCTAAAGAGACAAAACGAAACAAGTTATGGCGCCTCCCAAGGTTGTTCGCTCAGGCTCGCGCATGCAACAAAAGGATTGGTGGGATCGGTCTATTCGCCGGTCGGCTTTCGTTTTGATAAAGCGATACTTTGGATTTGTCGTTCTGAGCGAGAACGCCTGCCGGCCCGTACAACTAGCACATGATCATACAGAGCTTATACATGGAGTCTTCCTCAATTCTAATTAACTCTACCTTTGGCACGTCCTCCAGCTGCAGGCTCTTTGCCGGCGTTCCGGACAAGCACGTACCGGCTCGCTAGTCCTACGGAGCTTCGCGGAGTAGCACCAGTAGCACGCACGGACTCGTCCAATCGAGCGCACTGACATGCGTACCAACACGAAAAAAACACGCAGAAAAACACGAGGACACCCAGCTGACTGGTAAGCACGAAACACGACACGGCAAGGGTAGCGAATTAAAATCGCAGATTCAGGAATCTCAGTGAGCCCGTTGATCCGACAAATCGGATTCCCCAATTAAGCGCTCACGCAAAAACGGCTCCAAAAATAAATAACAAAAAAAAAAAAACGGTTTGTTTGTTTTGTTGTTGGGAGGCGGCCGTCTCGAATATGTGTTTTCGTCTGTTACATCTGCACATTTGAAACATGATTTTCATATACTTTTTTTAACCTTTCCCGTTAAATAAAAACAACTTTTTTTAAAGAATAGCGACGCATTCACGGGGTGATACACTTTATTTAGCCCTCATAAAAGAAATTCTGACTACTCCTGCCAGCGCTCGCTGCAATCACAAAGTCGTTCCCCTTGAAACGTCAACAATGTGCACTGCAGCTGCGCGTTTCGAACACAGCTTGGCGTCACCAGACGTTGCGTTGTTGTTACCTGATGGAATTAAAATTTGATGCGCTAATATTTCGCGGCTACAACTCGTTCCCCTAGTAGCCCGAACCACCGATGGGGTAATAACATAAAAAAAACGTAGAACCTCGAATATTGATAGAGGGCCATTCTTAAGTTTTGGCAGCAAAAACGTGCTAGCTTGGAAGTTGAGGGACTCAGCTTACCGGAACATGAACAGCTCTACACCTTTCTAGCGCTTAACATCCAGCCCGAAAATGTCCAGTCACTAGGTTGTGGACGCAAGTACGGTGTCTGATATTTCGGAAGAGCTACTGCGCATGCCCAAAACGCCTTTCACAACCCATAAGACGAAAAGGCGCTACATGGAAGGCGCCTTCTTTTACTGGTCTACACGCATTCGTTTTTGCCTCAGCGCCCCTTCGGCATTTTATGTGAGGTACCCCGAGTTACAGAAGAAGGATAACTCTGTGAGAACGTTTGAGTGTTATGGTTTGATGAGCTGGTGTTTTTCGAAGAATGGAAAGGTACTTTTTCTTCTCGATAGAAGGATGCCACGATAGAGCCTTGAAAGGCTTGGAGCGCTTGTAGTCAGAATGAAGAACGAGATTGGATAACTCAGTGACCCGAAATATCCAATAGATCATGTAAGAGGCGAGCCGAAACGTCCATCAGAACGAACGATGCGCTTGAGCCTGAATGTTGAACGAGTTTGAATTTCCAACGAGACGTAGGGTCCAACCAAGCACCGAGTGCCCAACAGGTTGGAAAATTCAACCGGACAGAAAACCCAACCAGGCCCAATATTCCACGTGTCTAAATATTCAACGAGTCTGAATGCCCCATTTTGTATATTTTGTCGTGAAGGATTTTTCGACCTGTTAAAAGCTGCTAACGAATTTATTTCTGCGGGCTTTATATTTCTTGAGTTTTCGAAGTGCTGCTTTCGGGATGCCATGATGTTGTTGCCATGGAGAGAAGTTATAACTGTCCTTTAAATCGCGAAGTAAAAAAAAAAAAGATATTAATAATAATATAGTACTTTGGAAAATTTAGTTCTTTATAAAATAAGTAAACTCAGTATGTGAACACTGATTACACTGAACACAGTACGAGAGATTTAGCGCATACACGACATACGCGCGTTTTCCCTGGTGATGTAAAATTACGCTGACGATCACCAAAATTTACGATTCCATTTTGTGCCCAGCATAGTTGTATTTCAACATTATAGTAGAGTTTAATTTTGGAGAAAAAATGAAAACCCGACGCTCGCTTGTGTACGTCTGTTTAAAATATTAATAATTCTACAAGGTATCAAATGTCAGCCAATGACAGCCTGTTACTTCAATGGTATAACTGCTCAAATATTAACGAAACCTATCTGTTTCGGGAAAGCATAAAATTAATGTTAGGACTTCGAACCGCTCATACGTGCAGTCTCAAATATTTTCGTAATGCTTGCGAATTTCAAGATAGTTACTAACCTTGATAGTCTGGATTTGATTTTTGCAATGTTGAGGTCATTATTTTTGTGCAATTTTTAGCGGAATCATAAAATCTGGGAATTTATCGTTACAGATGTATCGAAGCCCTAGGAAGGTAAAAATTTCAGGATGTTCAGTATTTTGTCATTTATCCCGTGGCTTTCCGCACGAGAGTTTTAGGGATAAAAATAAAGATAAGGTTTAAACTATATTTATTAACAAAACACGTCATTACTTCCGCTATATAGTTTTGACAAAAAGGAGCGGTAGGACTGAATTCCTCCTGGTGCGGTCTAAAATCGGTGCCGTCCACGTATTGGAAGTATACAGATTTTATATATAGGTGTTTATTTGGCTATTTTATGTGAATGAATAATAGGCTCAGGGCCCATGAAGCTTCAAATATCTTATAAACTGGGTCACATCAATTGATCATTGTATTTAAGTTTTGTAACCGGGTTTAAAAAGAATTTTCCAGAACATTTTAAATGGGCTCTCGAAAACCTATTTTGAATAATTTGGATATTAAAAAATGAATAATATATGATATCACGGCATACGCAAAAGTCGATAAAAAGCGCGAGAAACATTTCAGCCTTATCCAGATACCAATATATGATGTATAGAAAATTTTCTACTAACAACGGTAATTTTACTTGTTGCCAATCTTTGTGTTGTAATGAATGTATTAGGCAATACCTGTATATGAAAAAGGTATTGGATTTAGGTATTTATTTTATTATTATATGTACAATTGCTTGTTACTTGCGAAGAACTTTATGTGACCATTTAGTTTCAACTTTAGACGCACGTCCGCTTGCATATGTTTAACGCCAGTCGAAGCTGTGCACGTGCGCTTTTCGCTTCCGAAAATCCACAAAAGGTTGTCCGCGGGTATAGTGCAGAAATCGGGTTATAATTCCTATGTCATTTATAAATTAGTCTCGGTACATATCTGTGATTGTCGAACATTTCATCACGTCTAGAATTCGTCCACTTTCAAATTGAATTCAAGATTGCCATTGCAAGTACACCGTTTTTTATTTGTCTAAATGAATAAAATGATATCAAGTCATGTCCGGCAGGTCTCACTACTGATACATAGGAAATACTTTATTTGATGTATATTTTTGTTATATTTGGTAAATATGCTGAGACCATATGCGCTTTAGCACCGTTGATTTTGTTTTTTTTATATTTCTCACGCTCTCACACAGTACTCACGAATGTATGACTAAAACAAAATCTTGAAAGCTCAAACAAATCAAGGCCCCACACAAACGATGCACAAAATCGATGAACTTTTTGCACATCGATTTGCCTGCACGGAACAGCTTTCGCCGATTACCAGACAGTGGAAAAAAATACTGCATTGCTAATAAACGCTCTGTACGGTAGAGGCAGGTATCCGGCCAGCCATTCTGGGATTTCGGCCCTCTGTCTGCTCAGGTGAATGTCTTCCAGTACGGTCCTTAGCTGCTCTGTACCCAGCCCAACCCCAAGATAGTTGGAGATTGGGGTGGACCACACGATGCCCAAGAAATGTTCTGGCTTGGATGCCCACAACACCAGCCAGGCTCCAACAGACTTTTTTGGGTTCGTTTCAACTCCAGAAACGTCCCTAAATTGCCTTAAAAGTTCTACCGCCCGCATTATACCTTCCTGAGCATGGCCAATGAGGGTGATGTCATCCGCGTAAGCTAGCAGCCGTGCTGACATTTCACGCAGGCTTGCACCCTTTTTGATGCGGTAATTCAAGATTGCCTTACACATCGGTTCTAGATATATAGCAAAGAGTGTGGGCGACATTAAGCATCCTTGGCGTACCGACAACTCCACGGGAATAAAGCGTGACTTGCGTCCATTGATTAGTATCCGAGTTCTTACGTTCCTGTAACATATTTTAATAGCATTGAGCAGAAATTTTCTGGTTCCGCAGTGCTCTAATATTGAAAATAAAAAGAAGGGACACACTTTATAAAACGCTTTTTTTTTTTAAACCTAGTTGTAGGACAGCCATAGGACGTCCCATCGCTTCTGCCGTATCCGCTATAATCCTCATTGTATGCAGTTTAGCGAATTTCAACCTATTTTTAAAACCATACGCCTGATTACTTCCAACTATGTAATGGAATGCAACTTCTAGGCGTTTTGATATAATTTTGCTAGAATCTTATAGTCCGTTGTCAAAAGGCTTATTGATCGAATGTCTTCGCTGCTTCTGACTGACCCTTCGCTTTTCCGTTTTGGAATTTGTATCGTTGTCGCCTTTCGCATTGAAGGTGAGAGAAGGTTTCGGTTGCCAGAATAGAATTTAAAGCAAAATGTGTTTGCGCATCTTTTATTTCACAGAATAAAATACATGAAACACATCGGAGCGAGTAATTTATCGGAAGTTAGAGTATGTATGGCTGCCTACGACTGCCTTGTCTGGCTCTGGGCCCTGCTCCTTGCTTCTGCTTGTGGTGACTTGTGGCTGCTTGGTAGCTGCCTGCTGATGCCTGCGGCCACCCATGGCTGCTCGAGGCTGCTCGCCGCTGTTCACAACTGACTTAAGTCCAGCATTGGCTAGGTGCTACGACACTGAACCCACTTTACTTACGAAATAGGAGCGAAATAAGTCCCTTGCGCATCCTGCCGATCCCCCAACGTTGTGGCCAACAGGGGGCTTCAGGACAAACATGGCCGAGCCCTCATCCTTAAGGATCTCGCGCCACTGGCCCTCCTTGACAGTGCCGTAGGCATTTTCGCTATCTACGCAGCTTTGTGACATGTAGATTGAGTCCTCCCTGAGGAAGTTGTGGAGGACGCAGGTCGTTATTACAACATAGTCTGCACTTTCTGGCTGCACGTTGATAGTGCGGAGGAAAATTCGGAACCTGGAGGCCATGACTCCAAAAGTGTTATCCACACAGCCCGTGTAGAAATGAAACATCTAATGTAATGTACAATGGAAGATACCCCTTGTGTGAATCGGCTTACCTTGCTCGGCTCAGACGGTAATTGAAGATTATTTTCTCTTCGTCTTGGTTTTTCCCCGGTATTGCCGCAGAAAGTCCGGGCGGAGTGTAAACGCCTCGTTCCCGCTGAATACATGTGGCGCCACAGTCGACGTGTTTGGGAGATGCTATCGAGAGGGCAGGCTGAGACGGACCTTCTTCGAGGCACTTCCCAAACCGCGAGGCATGGAGTGTACCGACATCACTTTGTCGTCCATAGGCTCCAACGTCCACGGACACAAACCTTAGGTCGTTCTCAACGAAAGGCATCAGTACAATAGAGTATGTACTCTGTAACAACAATTCACCGCGTACAAAGAAAGGCAGAGCATTAGACCGAGCACATAAACAACGACCGAATCCAAACAGTACCTTGTAGCTGTAGTACATGCTGCCAGAATGTGGTAATGCCTGAATCTGGAGATGCTTCCCATCCACTTCGCCAAAACAGTGGGGGAAGTTCCACTTCTGCTCAAAACCTTTGGCCACTTCTTGCCACATCTGAGTTGTTGGCATGTGCAATACATGTTTACAATTTACCAACCAGAAATTGACCCTATTCAAAGCGTGCACTAACTAAACTCCGTTTAATCATAACCTGGCCAATGCTGAAGGGTTCAGCACCAAGTAGCATACATTGCTATGTTGGAATGTCAGGTTACGTCAGGATCATGGCCCCCACAACTACGTCATGGAGCTCGGCGAAGGAGAAACTGAAAGAAATAGTCTGCTTTTATCCTTTTAATTACAATGCAACAACAAAGTTCCCGGATCCGTAACATTGCGTTCTAGTATGCTTGGGTCTCGCTAGTGACAGTGTTCTTGGGAAAAGTGAGAAACATTCTAAACCAATATGTTGCATGACCCCTTTAGTCTCAATGGCCACCAACTATAGGCCGCTTGGAGGCCGCAGCATCTGGAAACAAAATTTAATTCCATAGGTTCTGTCTCTCTACTCTGCTGCTGCATTGAAATGTAAACTCCCACCAATCCCTAGGTTTGGTGGCTCGTTCACACAGACTCGTTTGCTTACGTTACGTTACGAAAAGTCACCGAGAAATCTGCGCTTTGTATTAAGCGTGGCTACCAATTCATCGAGATAGCCTGGCACACGACATTCGAAACACGAATGTTTCGGTGATAATAAGCTAGGACGGTGAGTTATGGTGGCAACCAAGGTCACAAGGCTCGTCGTAACGTAACGTAAGGAATAGACTAATCTCACCAGCTAGTTTGAGTACGCCACCGCTGCCGACATGCATCGTGGGAGCTGTAGTCTTTCTGCACGCGCGACAACCCTGCTGGAGGTCTGCGCGAGCAGAGCACGAGGCGGCATGAGCTCTCTCGTGAACTAGCGTCTGCCTCCTACGAACTACAATTATGGCGGCGTCACGCATGCGTGGAACGCTTGGTGAGATCGGTCTGTTGAGTTCGGTTCAACTTTTCACACAGCACTGTTTTCTTACGTTACGTCTAAGTCACCGAAACATTCCTGTCTCGAATGTCACGCGCCAGGCTACCTCATTGAATTAGCAGCCACGGTTAATACGAAGCACATATCTCCCGGTGACTTTTTGTAACGTAACGTAAGGAACCCGGCCTGTGTGAACGACTTTTGTTTATCCATAATAATATGTCAGATAGCGCAGTTTCAAACTTTTCAACTATGTCACAAGACATAAGTTCTAGGACACTGGAAGAATTTAGAGAAACAATCAGCACTATAGACTGGAGCCCTATGTTTAATTCTACAGATGCTGATGAGTGCTACGATTGTTTTATAAATACTTTCAAAAATGCTTACTCCACTTCATTCCCAATCAAATGCATCCGTCCAAACAAAAAAGCTAGGAAGCCGTGGGTAAATGGTCACCTTTTTAACTCATTAAAAAGAAAAACGTACTTTATGACTCTTTTGTGAAAACACGAGACGAAGAAAAATTGCGCGAACTCAAAAAGTTCAGCAACTTTGTTAACGCTCAATTAAGACAAGCTAAACAGCTTTATTACGCGGCTAAGTTTGACTCATCCTGTTTAAGGCAGCCCGATATTGTCTGGAAGCAACTGCATTCCCTTCTCCGTAGCCAATCTAAAGATAAAGCTATTGTTAACATGACTATAAACAATGAAATTATTTCCAGTAGTGAACTTGCAGATAAATTCAATGATTACTTTGTGAGTGTCGGGAATAGCACTTATTGCTATTATATATTATTATAGCACGTACTGCCAAAGATAACATCTTCCGCACTAGCGAAACTATGTTTTTGAATCCCACGGATACCGCAGAAGTGTTCTCGATGTTTATGAATATGAAAAATAGCCGTAGTCGTGACTGTGATGACCTCTCAATCAAACCCGTTAAATTTGTACTAGATTTGATATTACCATGCATAACTCATTTGTATAATCTCATATTATCATCAAATGTATTTCTTAAAAGCATGCAAGTGGCTAAAGTTTTTGCCCTCCATAGAAATGACATGAGTAATTACCGCCCCATATCTATTCTTCCTGTATTTTCGAAACCAATAGAAAAGATAATATATTCTCGACTATTAACCTTTTTTGAAAAATATTCTGTGTTGACGGACTCGCAATTCGGCTTCAGAAGGTGTAGGTCTACAGAAACTGCTTTATTAGTACAAAAAGAGACAATATTAGAAAATTTCGAGAGTAAACTTTTAACGTTGGGGATCTTTGTAGATTTCAGTAAAGCATTTGACCGGATAAATCACATAACTCTTCTTGATAAATTAGATTGTTATGGTATTCGAAAGGTTCCATTAGCACTCATTTCATCCTAATTACAGTACCGTTCCCAATACGTTCAAATTAATAATAACAGATCTTCTATGCCGCGCATTAGTTCCCGGGTCCCTCAGGGAAGTATTTTAGGCCCACTATTGTTTATCACTTATGTTAATGATATTGTAAATATTGAAACGTCGGCTAAATTTATTATATACGCGGATAATACTAGCATATTTTTCTCTGATTCTAGAGAAGGGGTGCTTACTTTCAAAGCGAAATATTTTTTAAATAAATTAAAGTCATGGGTAGTTATGAATTCCCTTGTTATTAACACGTCAAAAACAAAGGCCGTTTTATCTCAGTGCCTAGGACCACGTATTAGGTTGTCAAGCGATTTGTTTTGGGGGGATTGTGCGATAGAGTGCGTTGATAGTATTAAGACGTGGGGGGTAATATTTTCTTGTCACATATCCTGGAATAATCATGTTACCTATATTCATAAAAAACTATGCAAAGTTGTCGGAATAATGAATAAATTCAGGCACATCCTTCCAGTAAATATTAAAAAATAAATTTACAATGCGTTGTTCTACCCTGTGCTCCGCTACTCCCACCTGGTATGGGGTTCGACTACAAAGGGCAACATTGACAAATTACGCCTATTACAGAAAAAGGCACTCAGGATAATCGAAAATGTTCCACGTGACTAGCATTCCCTTCCTCTTTTTGAAAAACATAAGGAAAAACATGATATAACCAATTTGTATGCACATAGACTGATAGCTAATTATCAACGATTTGTAAGGGAAAATAATGCCATTTCTTTAGATCTTGGTAATCTAGAAGCAAACGAGTCTGTATACCCATCGCGACGTAGGCCCCTCTGGCGTATAGCTTTTTCAAGGACAAATTTTGGTTTACAAAGATATCGCCACCAATTACCACTTTTATTAAACACGCTCTTTTCCCGTGATATTGAAATGCACTCTGTTAGTCATTGTTCCATTCAAGAAACTTTATAATAAGTAACCACCACGTTTTTGTATACTGTTGATTGCGAAGTTGAATTCTTTATGTTTTTCTTGTGTTTATCCTCTGTATAGGTGTCTGCAAATGTATGTGTGCGAATATTTGTTTTTTTTGTCTGTATGTGCCAGTGCCGCTCTTACCTTGTTCTGGGGCGCTGGGACTCGTCAAGCTGCAGGCCTGCAGCTTTTTTTCCAGCTCCCCTGTCACAAATGTACTGTTTGCAGCAAAATAAACGAATTTGATTTTGAATTCGAATGTCACTGTAAAAACTGCGAGTTTACAAAAAGCAGGGAGCACAAGGTCTGCAAGAGTCAAAGAGAGAGTAAAAACACTTAGGTACAAGGACAGACAACACAGTACTTTCAACTGGCAACCCACATTTACTGATGTCTGCTTCAATATGTACTATTTCCCTCCTCACGTTTGAACTTTTCAAACTAAAGAGGAAGATAGGGAAAAAATATTACATTTTATACGCCCGGAAAAGGGACAACATCCCCAAATACACAAGAACATAAAAAAGTAAATAAGAAAAAAAAGTGAAAGACATTTACAACTCCCTGTAACGCCGAATTGGAGCGCAGCTTTTGAGAAGGAGGAGGGAAGAGTACTGAGGGTCACGTGTTCTCGGGGGAGTCACCTGACGTCAAGTGTGGTCACGTGACCTGGAGCAGGTGTCACGTGACCTTGGTGGGGTCACGTGACTTCGACGGGGGGTCACGCGACCCCCCAGAGAATTTGTTTCGCTAGATTTAGCGGGGAAATTTACCCATAATGTACCGCTCGGTTACGCCGACGGTGACGCCGACGCCAGGTCACATGACCTGGCGGGATCACGTGACCTGGGGGGGTCACGTGACCTCCCGGTTACGCTGACGCCGACGGCGACGCCACCGAAGCCGGAAACAGGCGCCGAAGAGCTGCGTTCTAAAACAAAAACAAAAAAAGAAACGCTCACCAGTCACCTAGCTGTGTTTGGAGATTTATGTTTGTCCTTTGTCCCTCTTGTTCCCCTTCTCCAGGGATTATTTTCGTCATTCTTGTCCAGCTCGCTTGCACCTTTGAAATTAATTGCATTAAAATTATAAAAAACACCATTGACAAATTGAGATAGAGGGCCCTTCTACTAATTCAGCTCTGGCTTCAGGTAGTTCATTTCAACTCTGGACCACCCAAGAGAAGGAGCAGCGATGTTGTGTTCGTCACCGGCTATCCTGTATGCTTCAATAATCTCTCGGTCGAGCTTGTTCTTCTGCCTTCCAATTATGCTGGTGTCCTGGAACAGGGCTTCATAGTCTTTGCAGAGGCGTTGATGCACTACTATTGGATGAAAGGTGTCGCTTGAAGCACGGAAAACCTCGAGGACGTGCTCTCGTAGGTGGGTGTTCAGGCAACGCTCTGTCTGGCCAATGTATCGGTCACCGCATAAAAAAGGGATGAAGTATACCACCCCCTCTTCACAGGGAACGGTCTGATTGGAATGCTTGATGGAACATCCTTTGGGGGCTTCCTTGTTCTTCATTCGTCTGCAAAGTTGTTTTAGGCGCAATTTGCACGAGGAGACAATTGAAGTGTTCAAGCGCGCTGCAATTCCCTTCAGTCTTCTGCAACAACGACTCTTGTGCATCAGGGCCTCTGCAAGAACTGTGAAGCCCGGTTCCAGGACACCAGCATAATTGGAAGACACAAGAACAAGCTGGGCCGAGAGATTATTGAAGTATACAGGATAGTCG